GAAGTCACGAAAAAGCGGCTCTGAAGAAGGCGATACTGCCGAAACGTCAGCTAGTGTTGTATTGTATTGTGTTTTTATGGAAGTAAATGTATGCTGTTTAAAAACCTCGCGATTGCTGAACAAGAAAACGACACATTCATATTCCAATGCCGAGGTTAAGAGAAAGTCGATCCTGGGATAAATCACTGTTTTTCATCGCTGAGCAAACCCGACGTTTTCATTACAGCACTTATAAATACATAATAGCCGACATTTCGGCGGTTTCGCCTTTTCAAGGCCGTTTTCTTTGTAAGTCTCCCGTTATTTCGTGGAGATCAGTCGCACAGAATTTTACATGAGAGAGGTTAAACGTGAAGAATAAAACGTTTTGCAGTAATCAAACCCGGCGTTACGCGCCATGCCTTCGATTTCGTAGATAACAGGAAGCTGACTGAGTGCATATCTGGCCTGTACAATGACTTGTGGTGGCCTACCGGTGCGTCTAGTCAGTGTTTTTGTCCTCCGAGACAAGCGTTTTATCAAAGTGCCAACCTCGGAATGAGTAAAGGCTTGCTGAAGCTGGGCGCCGGTTCGAAGAAGTGACTGATATAGCGTGTATAGATTGCCTCTTAGGAGGTATAATGCAATCCTAATCAAAGGAAATAGAGGGTTAGGAAGTATTTAGTCCTTCATTGTAAACTCGTCATAGCAATAGGCAGCCAGCCAGATATCCTTGTTTTCAGTGAGCATTTTGGTCGGATTATCTCAAATTCTAATCTTTGTCGTACTTTCGAACCATGATTGGCCACTTTTTTCACAACTATTTCACTAACTAAAATTTTGCAATGAATTCGTATTTAACATTCTTTTTAGCCGGATGGTGTAGTGATGAAGTGCGCTGCTCCCCGGTAAGGACAACAGCGCGTGTTCGTTCCCCACTGCATACACCTGTGGTCCGGAGTTTTGCAAATATCTCAGCATTTCATACGAGTTATAATTCTTTTTAGCATTTTCTTTGCCAGATCTGGTTATCACTTATTCCATTTAGATTCATTCTCTTCACATTCCCTCGACTTTTCCAGAAATTAATTCTATATAGTAAGGTCAGTGGTCCCATTGAATACTGTAAGGTTTTGATAGACTATTCTAAACTAAATAGCGATGAACTGAGTAAATTAGAACGCACCGTTGTCATTTGGTTGGACGAATATAACCATTGCGACAATGGTAATTACTAGAAGACAATTGATAATCAGTGGAATGACGACACGCAGCATAAGAGGACCGCTAGTAAACAAAAACAAAAGCATTTTAACTTGAAGCAAGACCTGTAGAAAACAGTTTTGGTACATGAAAACGCTCACGCGACGACGACAGCCATGTTGATGAACATAATGCCGACATTCGGAATTTGTGACGTTACTCCAATTACACTCATAAAACTTTCCGCGTACTGTGTTGCGTTACCGTCAACGGTAAACCAGTAACCGACATAGTACTAAAATACATAGTATAGTACATAGTACTTCTTTTAAAATTCTGCTTCATAATTTGATCGAGAGGATTTGATCTACGTAATTCTATAATGAAAACGTATAGCGCAGTAGTGAAATTCGTCATTCCCATAAAAATGGCCGACTTTTACCGTACAAATATACATATACATGTATACTGATTGATTCACTGCACAACGATGAAAACAGTGAACATGATGATGAGGTAGGGTACAGGTGGACGATGGAAAACAGACCGCTTCTTAGTGCAATGACTGAGAAAGCAGTTTTTGGTCTTTTAAGATCTCATTTTTTGAAAGAGCAGACTGGACCCTACAGACAGATTCTATTAAACGTAGCCAACAATGAAGACTGGTACATACATGGAAAACGGTTCACGACCACTTTAAAAAAAAGCTAACCAGCAGTTCGATTCTTTGCCAAGACAAGTCATGCTTTATTCACATAGGATCGAAAAGTTGACAACAAGCTCGTTTGAAGAAATTGACGAAATGAGAACACTGAGAGACAGGCGAAACGAAGAACCCGCATGGTGTGGTAGTGAACGCGTTAACCCCCGGATTGTGTAATACCGCGTTCTCGCTTCTACGTTGTAGTCAGAAGCAGTAAAGAGGTATCATGCGAAAAACGTGATGCTCTTTATATCTATCCACTGAGTGAATTATAAAGAACAGCTGTGGGGAGCGACATGAAGGAATGGAGACTTTATTGATGCCTTGCCGTCATCATCTTTCACCGTTTCAGTTTTCTTACCCATGATTGTGAAGTGATTTGATACACCAAACCATTCATTTGGTCGCCTCGGACAGCGTCTGGGAGTTCTGTTCATCTTAAGGATTTGAAGAGTATATCTATTTTCCGAGGTTTCTGGGGAGTTTGACCAGCAGATCAATGGTCTTCTTGCTATGCACTTGCCATCAAGTTGGACCAGATCGTTAACGACACTTGTCCATCGTCGTTAAGATGCATCACGTGCGGCGCTCATCTGATTTTCAACGTTTTAGGGGTTATTCAGCAGAAAGAACTGTAGGGCTGAGAGATTGACAAGGCGTAGGTTGTTCATTATCCCCTTTACTACAATCCTTATGCTTCTTAAAGCATCCTATGTCCAAACTTCTTCTGCTGAGCTCTCTGAAAAGCCAAAGAGTCAAGTCCGCTTGTTGATGAAGATTGGCGATAGATCCTTGGGAGGTTCGCGTTTAAACCTATTTGGATCGAGGATTGTACGATTCTTGAATGACGAGTATCGCGTCAGATTCCGGAAGCAGAACAGCCAAGATGATATGTCCAATGTCTTTCATTTCATAAGAAGATAGAACGTGGCTCTTGAAGAGATCAGAGTGTTAGTCGAGGATGATTGTTTTCCTCACTGTTTTCGAGGTCGTAGCTGTTCCGCTCGGATGTTGCCTTGCAACCATATTAGTTCTATGGTCGAAAAAATTTAGTTGGGCGTTGTGAATACTTTTTCCAGCATGTGCACCTACAACCACTATTGCGCTTTTCTCTTGTTAAGGGCCTTATCGCCTTGCTGCACAGCTTTCTTAGTTCACCGCATGGTGTGGTGGTGAACGCGTTACTCCCCGGAAAGGACAATCGCGCGTTCGTTCCCCACCATAGACACCTGCGGTCCAGAGTTTTGCAAATATCTCAGCAACGTTGTGGTTGTATTTCTTAGTTCAGTTGTGACTTGGCGATTGCCTACCGTTTACTTGGCTCTAGGCTAGGGTATTAGCTCCAGTGTTTCTGAAGGTGAGCTTCTTTTTGTAATGTCGGCTCTAACAGCACAACAAGAAAATGTCGAACAAGCCCGTTTTATTCCTAATCGGTGTTGTTGATAATGGCATCTTCGTAAAAAATTGAGTAGAGATCTGCGCAAATTCCAACTTATGGTGGTTTTAGGATTCCGCGTCGTGAATTTTGCCGCTTACTCGTCTTTCTGCAAACAAGGAAGGAAAGTTATGCAAGGAAAACAAACACAAAGTCTTGCGCGTAGGAGATGGTCTGATCTCGCACAAAATCCGGGGCAACTGAGAAACCATTTAGAAACCACTAGTCTGCCAGTCACTTCCAGAATAGAAAACGATCCTATTTGTCGAAGAAGCTCATAACCGCCTCACATATACTTCAGCGTCACTCGTTTGCAGGTTTTTACAGGAAGTGATTTACACGACGCAATCTGTAAATACGTGAGCACAACCACGTATGCACATGTGCACGTAAATACAGATGGGTATGCGCCGAATCTGCGCTGGAGAAACAGGTCCATCGTCCGGATACATATGCGTCACTGTGAAGCACAAGATCACTTTTGGTCTGCGTTTAATTCCTACCCATCATCTGGGGACGAGCTCAATAGCTCAACGACGAAATAGATGAGGAGTCCGTAGCCTGTAGACACAATCGGTGATCGAGTGACTGCAGATGACACAGCTGACAGAGCAAGAAAATGGCTAAATATCTCATCGTAAACAATAAGGCATAACTCCGATGTGTAAATAAGATAACTATTAACTCTTTACGAGTGTACGAAAGATTTCAGCATAAAAATAATAGATGACCTAATACAAATAGGTAAAAGACAAAATATAAAAAAATATTAACATAGCGTATAGAATTTACCTGTGGAGCAATTGTAATAAACATATTCCACGACAAGAGCATTCCAATTCCGTGCAATACAAATATCATATAAACAGCAAGATGACGGTCGTGGACAGATGAAATCGATTCTGATGCGGACGAACACCACGACGACCTCATGGTGGCTGACCCTCCGCGGATTCTTACTGGAACGAGCACTACCTGTTTTTGGGATAAGCAAATATAATATAAAAATACTCATTGTTCGAGCTCGTATAAAACATAGAAATGATGCCACGTGTAAGAAATATATGATAGGGAAGAAAGTGAATCTATAGTTAGTTAGATGGAATGAAAATGAGAGAAGCGACGATTCAATGAGTGGATTAGATCCTGTGCGTTATTATGAGCGATCATGAAATTGTAACTATAGGAGCTATGACATTACTCAATAACTAACTTTGTGGTGGATTTCATCATCGGTGCCTGAAGTGTGAGTAGGGTGGCATAGAGCTCGTACACTTACTGGAACGCTTGCTATTGATATTACTAAGTCCTTAAGCTAAAGCTGTGCTGAAATCACTTACAAATATACTAGTAACCAACATATTAGTTGACTTAATGACTGTATATACTTAATAGTTGACTTAACATATTAGTTGAAAGTTAGGTGTGAAACTGTCCGCGCAATAGACATCTTTGATTGCTTGTCTTTATATGAAAAGGACTACCAAATACAAAACCAGTCCATATGCCATTATAAATAGCTGGTCTAATCATTCTATATTGCAAAATATTTTAATGTTTGATAGACATACACAAACACACAAACATACACACACACACAAACACAAACACACACACACATACGATTTTTAGCTGCAATTTGCCAAAGTTGTGTAAGAAATGCCTTATCCGATTCTCCAATTCACGTAATCAGACTACGATGGCCACAAAGTTCGGTGATAAGAAGGTTGAGGCTATACCGTTGGGTGACGATGGTTGTGTACTTATCAGTAGACGTGAGTTCATGACGAGTTCTAAAGGCAAAACAATCTTGAATCGAGAGACAACTGTCTCCATCCAGTCATGTTTTCAATCAGAATTTCTTCCGAAGATACAAGACGATCAAAAGAGAATTTTTTGAAATATCTCTCCGTTCACTACAATGATGCTGAGGTTTAGGTAAAACTCCGGACTAAAGGTATCTGCGGTGGTGATTGAACACGCTATCACCCTTTTCGAGGGCTAATACGTTCACCACCACACCTTGCGAGATCCCTTGTTTTGCCATTATCTCAGTCGTGTTTATAGGTGCTATCTCTATTTAATATTTCATAAAACTGATTATGAATTTAGCTTCAGTTATGCTAAGATATTGGCAAAAACTCTTGGCTGCAGGTGTCTGCGGTGGGGACGAACGCGCTATTACCTTTTCCGGGGGCTACCGCGTTCACCACCATACCATGCTGGTCCTTCGTTTCGTCTGTTTCTCAGCTAGTTCTGTCGAAAAAATGGTGTTGAATGATTAGCTACAAAATCATGGCGTCATCGATAGTTGTCAGTTGTATAACATTGGATTTCGTAACCTCACTTGTTCAATCGTTGTTGATGGAGGATGAAGTCAAACTTTCTCTCCCCTAGCGGTAGTAAGAGAGGGTTTCGCTAATACCGTTGAAGAGTAAACTTAAATTTCATATTAACTTGGTGTAGTATGACTTTTTTTTACTGTTTGATGCTGCTGCTACAGAGACAGTTGAAATGAAACGATGCTAAAATAGTGCGTTTACATGTTTGTCACGTTTCCACTCTCTTGTCTCTTTACAACATCGGAGTCGATGTTGAAAATCCTGTGGTTGTTAGCGGTCAAGACAATTTTAGAAGTGATCTAGGATGGTCAGAAATCATATAAAAACATCGGAACAGAAGAAAGAAAGAAAAAAAAATAAAAGAACAGACTGCATATCGGTATGACCTTTTCAGGTTTTGAAAAAAGCGAAATCGGTTAGAACGTCTACAATCGTTGTAAAATGTTGCAGGCATTGTAGTATGAACTTGACGCAAATGTATACAATGGAATACGGAACAAATGAACGAATGAACGAAATGGATGGGCTACAGATCGATAAGCCGGATAATGACCGAGATTACTTGAATTTGATGCTAGCGGACAAAGTGGACCTAGCGTGTTAACAAATTTCATCAATTATTCAAAACTATTGTTTTGGTATTTGCCATGCATTCGCCTGGCTAACAAAATACCGATTGGTTTATTATCGCTTGAAAACAAATTATCATCAACTGATAATCATATCAACAACAACCGCCCTGTATAAAAGATCTTCGCTGGGTGAGTATGGCTTACTCGAGATGCTCGACTGAGGAAGATCCGGTTCAGTACGAGACGAGGACACCTCATTGAGAAGAGGAACGACTGTGGGCCATCGACAAGGATCGTCGGCTCTAATGAAAACGAAGACGTCGTAACGTTAGCCGAACAAACGTCTCTAACAACCCCATGTGAGCTCAACAATATAAACACATGTTGATTTGACCAATGTTCTACACAAAAGTAGCAAACGACTTTTCGGTACAGTTCTGCTATAAGTTTTGCGCAAATTCTAGTTTGTTCTGTATCAATTGTTTGCTTTTCGGCGGTGCCTTCTGTCATTAGATATTATGCACACAGCGAGAAATCTATGGATCCGCAATACGTGCACATCAAATAGAAGTATACTGTGTCTAAGTTTTAATCGAGTTCAGAAGCGCTTTTAACTCGATGGAACTGATCGACAGAGGTCCAGGCTTCTGCAAGTATCTCAGCATCATTGAAGTTATATTTCGCTTCTAACTCTTTTGAAACAGAAGAACTCAAAGAAGCTCTGGAAAACCAGGGAGTCGCTACTCGGCATAGAAATGTTCTTCGTGAGACAGAATCTCCCTCATTTGAGGGACCTCGAGCCGGTTAGTCGCGAGGTTACCTAGCGCGTCCCGAGGTTGCGGATAGTGGGTTAATTGCGGACCAAAAGCGACCTTTGCTTCCCCGAGACGCAGGTGGATCCAGCAGATGGACTCCCTGTTTCTGTTGAGCTGATTTGGCACATCTGTATTTGCATGTCGTATTCATGCATGCGTGTGCGGGTGCGTTCTTGCCTTTGCGGATTGTATTTCTGCGAGTCAATTCGGCCAAATGGGTGCAATCAAGTGACTGGGAAGTATACGAGAAGCGGTTAGGAGTCGCCTCCAACAAATAAGCTCCATGACCACACTGGGAGAGCCTGGCAAGCTAACCGTGAGTATACCCAGCCCCCACGTTCAAAGCCCAGCAAATTATACGTGGGTATCAAAATGTTAAACACAGTAAAAAAAACGGGCCTCGTTCCCCTGACCCCGAAAGAACCCCCAATTTCGCAGCATTGGGTAAGACGAGTACGGAGAGGCTGCTAAAATCTCACGACCAATGGAAGCTGCCTAGATTTGAAAGAACTATGGCGACGATCTGTACCTACAATGTACGCAAACTAGCATGCGAGTCTTCGATAGAAGAGTTGATCATGCGAGCAATAAAAGTAAGGTACGACGTCTTCGGCCTGGCTGAGACGAGACGACGCCACCCATTCAATGTCGTCTATGACACCGGAAAAGAACCGTTCCTCGGAACATGCGACAGTAGACGAGTCAGCGGCGTCGGCATTCTCGTCAATGCGAGTTTGTCCATAAACATCGATTCATTCGAACAGCTTACAACCCAAATCGGACGGTTACAATTGAAAAGATGTGGATCAATCTCTGCTTTGACAATCTTCGTCGTTTACGCGCCGACATCAAACTATGACGAAGAAGAAGTCGAAGCGTTCTATATGGACTTGTAGGAGTTCTACAGAGAAGACCACAGATTCTTCAAGGTCATCGTTGGAGATTTCAACGCCAAGATCGGACCAAGAAGAACGTCTGAAAAACGTCACATTAAGATAGACGGATTAGAATGGAACGAGAAAGGTGAGCGGCTATCTGAGTTTACCATAGCGACCAAGACAATCCATGGTAACTCGCAATTCCAGAAAATTCACCCTCAGCGCTGGACGTGGGAGTCTGCCAATGGAGAGTACCATGACGAAATAGACCACATCATAGTAAATAGAAGGTTTTGCCTAACCGATGTCGCTGTTGTACCAAAATTAAAAAATACAAACCTTTAACTCGAGCCGTCCTGAACAGTATTGATGGAACACTGGACAAAGGACGGCCATGTGAGCGAGCAGGGTTTCGAGAAGGATTTAGTACGATGGACCACATCCACACGGTAACACAGCTAATTGAAGTATCTCGAGAGTACGAAAGACCGCTCTGTCTCACTTTCATCGATTTACAGAAGGCCTTTGATTCAGTCGAGATAGAAGCAGCCTTGGAAGCCCTCGATAGTTAAGGAGTCCCTACCCAGTACATAAAGATTCTTCGTGAGCTGCCCAAAAATTTCACAACCAAGATATCACCATTCTACAACGATATTAACATCGACGTCAAAAGAGGAGTTAGGGAAGGCGATACCATATCGCCAAAGTTATTTACCGTCACCCTTCAAAACGTTATGCGAACATTGGCATGGGATAATACGGGAGTGAAAATCGACAGCAGTTATATCATCTTTGTTTTGCTGATGACATCGTCCTTATAACAGCAAACATTAGCGAAGTGGAACGTATGCTTGACAACTTTGATAAAGCCTGCGGAAAGATTGGTCTTCGACTAAATCTTACAAAAACGATGTTCATGATGAACGGATTGGTTTCGCTTGCCCCATTCAGGCTCAACGGAACGAATATCTCCTAATGCTCCAGTTATATCTACCTAGCTCGGGAAATCAATATAATGAACGACCTAGCTCGAGAGCTAAGGAGAAGGAAACGAGCAGCTTGGTGAGCATTCAAGAGTATCGAGGATGTAGTAAATGGAACAAAGAACACGAGACTCCGTACCTACCTTTTCGATCCAACAGTACTTCCTGCCCTAACGTATGCGTCAGAAACCTGGTCGCTGCGTAAGGAGGACGAAAGGTCACTCAGTGTTATCGAACGAGCAGTCGAATGGACGATGCTAGGAGTACCCCGTTTCGCACAATTAAGGGATGGGATCCGAAGTTCCGACCTGCGTCAACGATCAAAAATCAAACATGCCGTTCTGTACGCCAAACAGTCGAAGATAAGGTGGGCCGGACTCGTAGTGAGTATGAATGTCAAACGATGGACAAGAGCCGTTAGTGACTAGATTCCTCGGGATGTTAAACGCACTGCACGAAGACCACTGACTTGATGGACAGAGTTGTTCACGAAAACCCTAGAAGAAAGATACGATGTTCGATGAGTCCCTAGAGCTTGCAAAACCGACTGAGCTACCCTTGCACGCGACAGGGAAAAATGGAAGATTTAGTGGATCCCGTTCGAGTCATTCGACGATCAACGGGACTACAGGTGATATAGGTTAGATATATACGATTTTCACATCGAGAGTATCACTGTTGTATAACATTTTATTCATGACCCGCAATCATATCTACTGTGCGGATCCTAGCATTTCATTCGTTTAACTCATTTTCCTAGCAGTCATTGCTTTTGGAACATCTCACCTGTTGCTTCGTCTGCTGCTTAAGAATTTCTTCTTCTCCTTCTCACAGAAATAAATATAATATATAATAAATATAAATAGAAATAGAGGCCATAGAAATGCCGGTGAAGTCGATTCTTTTTGTAATCTTGGAGATAGCCGGGTTAAGGCGTTCCCACTTGAATTGGAGCGGAGATCAAACTACAGCCTTTGTTTCTTGATTAACGGTATCACTAACCGATGCGCTACCCTCCGCCTCTTAACTGATATTAACATTGACACAAAGAGAAAGATTTTGACAAGGCAGCACGTCGCGATAAAAATATTGACAACCAGTCTTGAGAGTGTCGTGCCAGAACGGGATTAGATGGAAGAAGTGAATATAAATCTGTATGAAAATTCTGAAGAATGTTAAACACATGTTGTCGAACTGACTATCGAGTCGCAACACAAATATCATTCACAACGAGAGAGCAAATACTTTTTTATTAGGTTGTAAGATGTGAAATAATCGATCTTATTGTTAATTTTCTGTGTAATTTTTTGAATAAAAATTTTGTTAAATATGACTGCTATAATGCTGAGATATTTGCAAAACTCCGGACTGCAGATGTCTGTGATGGGGAACGAACGCGCCGTTGTCCTTTCCGGGCAGTAACGCGTTCACCACCACACCATCTGAGGTCCTTCGTTTCGCCTTTCTCTCAGCTAGTTCTTCGAACTTTTTTTCAGCATTATAGTAGTTATATTTCGCAAAATACTCTGTCGTTAAAAAGAATAGGCAGTAAATAAAAAGGTTTAAAATTTTGTTATTTATGTATATTTAATACATATTTTTAGGGCACAAAGTCTGCTCTTTTTGTGCCTTGTATTGGTTTTGTCAAAACCTATCATTTTAACGTTTTTATAGCTTTTAACTTTAGTATGAATCAATGTGATATTGGTGTCATTTTTTTTTGTACAAGTGGCACAGTGGACATAAATCCGCGGCAGGAGCTCAGAATACCAATGCCGCGTTCTGAGACGGCTTTGTTAACGAACGCAGCATTCGTTACACTGATTGTAACGGTGCTTAATTTGATCAATAAAATTTAGTATGAAGAAAGTTATTTGAAGCCCATATTTAAAATCGGACATTTCATATGTTACAGCCTAATACAATCCATCCATGTTCACCACTAACGACGTCCTCTAGTTACCGTAGAATTATTGTCTATTTTTAAGAAACTAGAAAGCGCATAAAGGCTAAAAATTAGATGCCGTTCAGTCCTCAAAACAAACCCAAGATTAGGCGTTGTTGCGAAAGTGTTAGTCAGCTGAACTGCTAAGAAAATGAAGTTTTAACCCATAGCGGTTTTGTCAAGGGTAACGGTTTTCATCAAAATTTGGATTAACTCTATTTTTGGAGCTCCTTCCTACACACCAAATCGTCTGAAACTCGTGGTTTGCTCTTCGCTTGGTGTTAACCTTTTGGAAAAGAAAATTTCATTCCCAAAATGTCATAAACCTTACCACGAATGAAAATGTACTATAGTTCGTATGGGTAATTCGATGTCCAAAACACTTTCTAACGACTGTGGTTTTCATTGAGAACCATCGAGATAGACAGATTGAAGATCAATAAAGCTAAAGATTCTTATTTGACGCACTTTTCGCACGATGCTGTTAAGTACCATCTTCCCATTTTGCATGCAGGCTATAATCGTTAGGTAAAGTACGATAACTCTCAGGCTTTTAGTAAGTGGGTCAATTCAGTAACTAGTTGAGGCTGTAATAATTAATTATCGAAGCTACGAGTAAAACTTGGTTAGAAAAAACACTGGTCAAAAACATTTACCGCACCGCTTAAAATTTGAACACAGAAGTGGAGAAAAGGAGGGAATCGCTAGAGGTGGCACGAAAAATGGCCATTTCCTGGACAAATTTCAAAAGTCCGAACGTGAGCCGGAAAGATGAGTGGCTGACTAACTCAGGTGACCAGGTGCCATTTTCAGATTGATCTTTTGACCTGTGTGAGTCTTATTCTTCATCCCACTTTAACAACACTATGGGGTACCACACAAAACAACATGGGGAGTAGTTTTTGAACAAAATGGGTTTTATTTATATGTTAGATCATGATTACTGCTATAGATATTTCACCGAATTATAAGTTCGTCAATACCGATTTGTGCCCATCCCCTAGATCGAACCCGTTGACGAGTGGTCGCTGATTGATGGGTAGTTGCTGATTGCAACTATTGGTCAATAACACGGCTGAGAGAATGACGAAACGAATAACCCGTATTGTGTGGTGGTGAACTCGTTAGCCCCCGGAAGGGTAATAGCGAGTTTGGTCCTCAACGCAGACACCAGCGGTCCGGAGTTCTGTAGATATCTCAGCATCATTATGACTATATTTTACATAATACCCAGCCATCAAAAAAAGCAGGCAATAAATAAAAAGTGACGACAATATTAGGCCATTATTACATTGAACACGTGCAGACTGTGAGGAAGGCAATGTCGCCGAAACGTTAGCCATCGACCAACAACACCAACAGCAACGACAACAGTTTGCACCAACCTCACGTCAGCCGAACAAGGGTAGTTTGTAAGGATATATATATATATATATATATATATATAACAATTATTTGTGGCGAGGCTTATCGAAAGCCGATGTTTTGGGTTTTTACGACTAGAAAAACATTGTAGCTTAGTAAGTAACCATATACTTAGCCTTCATACGGCATACCAAATATGGTTGTGTACTAATATTTCTTTCTAGAGTGCGTCTAACCCAATGGTCGTAGGTGCTTTGCAATACACATGGGATTGATCGATCGCTACGCCCATAGCCCACCAAGCCTTCCATTCCTCCAGGCTCGGCAAATTGGTATCAGATTTGTCGGGAAGGATAGCAACACTGGCTGGATACATCGGTAAGCGACCGCGACTCATTGTTAAGGCTAGATATGCATTCAGTTACCTCCAACGATGCTTAATGAGGTCGAATGCATGCCGCGTCTCTGCGCGGGATTAATCAACGCCGAGAAACTTATGTTTTATCGTTTTAGCGATATTTCTATGAAATTTTCAGATGAGAAGTTACAAAAAGTTAGGACGATTGTTCGGATTGTTACTAATCGTGACCATCTCGTAATACGGCCAAATTAGCAGTAAGAGCAATAGCTAGTTCCATTGTATGAAAAAACTTTCTATAAACGTGTTATAATCTGTCTCGACAGCATCTTAGCGAGATTCCAGAGACTAGAAGAAATCAGCAGAAAAATGATTTCAACCTACTATCCAGAAGCCTCTGTGCATCTAACTTCTATCCAAAGGAAACCAATTTCTAATCGATTGATCTGGTGGATCGAAGATACGCATAGATTTCGTTTTTTTTATTAACCGTGGAACAAACCTTGAAACTTCATCAATGCATGAAGTTGAGGATGTGATGAATGAAGTGCTTGAAATTACTTCTAATCAGAGCATAAGTGCAACCAGTTTGCCTTCATAATCGGAAAACTTTCGGCAGTGAAGGGAAGAATGAGAGATAAGTGGAAAATGAGAGATAAGAATCAAGCCTACGACAACTTCAATGAACTCCTGTGAAATTCTTTGTTAGAAGGACTTTGCATGAAAAATCAATTACTATTTAGCGAACAGATAGAGTGATAAGGCTCTTTTCCCTGATGAACGGACGTGTTAAGGTTCTTTTTCGTGTTCAGACGACGATTGTACTCATATTGTTATCAAGAGCAGTCGTCGTTGCGTACTCTTTAGTCTCGGTGTTTCTTCGTCTCAAGAAAAAAATGTACAGTTCAAAAAGCAAGGGATGAGCCTACAGTTTCGTGGTGCAGAGAACGAAATACAAGCGGCAAGCACTTTAGATTAAATTTTTCTCAGTAGCTTTCTATATTTTCAGGAATTTCCATCAACAGGAAGTTTCGCAGATAATTTTCCTGATTTCTCATTACTGGAGTCTTTCCCGAAGTGTTAAACCGAGCTAAAAATTCAAGAACTCAGGTGCTATTTTTAACACGACCCGACGTCTCACATTAGTAAACAAGTGACAAGGTTTCAAACAAGTGAAGCTTTAAACAGAAGAGAATGTGGAAAGAACACTAGTGCAAGTGAATCTGTAATGTCTACGATTTAATGAGATTCAATGAGTTGCGACCCTATCAAGTGAGAGTCGTTAAGCGGTTTATCGATCAATCGATCAGTCAGTTGTAGTGGTGATTAAAAGCGAAAGTCTACTAAATGGTTATTGATAGATATTATTAGCAGGCGGCCAACATTTTCTTCTGCCACATTTTTCATACCTGTGGAAAATCATGTCAAATCATACCAAATATGATATTATTCTATTATATTGCTTTTGCTGTGCTCAATAGCATGTGGACAACGTAAATATGTCACCGAAACAAATGATTAAGGAAAATGATATCATTATATATGTAGTGCTGGCATAAAGGTGTGCGTAGGGGGCGGTTAGCATAGTGGTAGTGATTCATCACGAGCATGCTACTAGTTCGATTCCGCCCCGCGCCAACCAAGCCTCTCATCGCTCCGGGGTCGGTAAACTGGTACCGTACTTGGGAAAAAATCACTCTGCAATCCAACTGGGGACGCTCCACCCCGGCTATCTCAGGACTCTAGGGACAATTGCTCAACCAGCCTTCTACGACACTCAAGATGAAATGAAAATCCTCAAGGAGAAACTGAAGCCACACGTAAAAATTTGGAAGATTTTCGTGGGATGATGGATGAGAGCGTAAGAAGCGCTGGGAATCGCACAGCAGAGGGGAAGACGGATCAAGTGAAACAAAATAATATAAAACAACTAAAAAGGTATGTGTAGAGCAGTAGATAGAGGTGCACTGCAATACACACGTGGTCTACGTTCCGATCTCTGGTCGTGGTAAACTAAACCTGCGGAATATGAATTTACTTGTCACCACAATTTTATCCAACTACTTCTTAATAACTAGTTAGTTGCACCTTTGTAGTCAGCAAAGCAACATAAGAAACTATTCTCTTTCTTGTTTCAAATTCACAGAAAAGGCTGAATTTCTACAATTGTTTCTGTAATATATTCATCCCAAGAGAAACTTTACTGAAACAAAGCGGTAACGATTTCATCGGCTAAAACATCTCTGTTCTCCGGCGAAAGCACGTCGGAGTTCCCGCAACTTTTACTGTCAAAGTGTGATGTACGCTATAAAACTGAGTTACCATTCCTGAATTTTAATTTAGTTATTAACAGTAGTAGTATTCTTTCCACTTCTGTTCAGCAAACACGAGGTGCTATTCCACTTCCCCACCCACGTAAAAGCTGACGTCTCGGCGGATTTCGCCTTCCTCAGAGCCTGGAAAGGTCAAGTTGACAGCAACCTATTCGGCCAACACCTTCATAACCAAACAGAGAAGACGCTAAACCAAGATTTCAATCACATTGAACACAGCTCCGCACACTCACCGCTTTCTATGAGTCTTCCACTGAGTATGTCGTGTGAAGAGCAACCGTACAAAACTCACATGGAAGCGGAATGTGCCCCTCCCATCAGAATAACAGGTTTATATACTGCCCAATATCATGCGTGATAAAGAGGCATTCTTCCCTGCGGTTCATTTTCGGATTTCTGGAGTTAATCCAGAACGCCTCGAGAGTTTTGCGCGCTTGTGTTCTTGATTCGCGTGCGAGGATCGTGACACGTACTTCGAAGTCCTCCCCGTTATGTCTCTGGATCCTATGCGTGCCTAGTGGAGTATTTGGTTTATGTTTTCCGGCTAGGTGTTCTTTTATGCGGACACAGAGGGGTCTGCCCGTTTCGCCAATGTATTAGTCTCCGCACGCTTTACAGGAGATCAGATAAACTATACACGAGCTCATGCAATCACCGTCTTTACCATTGGGGCAAATTATGTAATTTTGCGTTGCACATAGACGGTCATATAGTCGGTTACGAACTAGCTGGCGCCTAAGATTACTCGGTGGCATTTCAACTACGTTTACCGAATTCTCTAGACCCGCCCTTCTTAAGCAGCGTTTTATAGCTGCACTTACATCATTTGAGATGAAGAGTAGGATAAGGATAGGATAGGGTAGGATATAGGGTAGGATAGGGTTTGCTGAACAAAAGTGGAAAGAGTTGTTCAATCAATGCCGAGGTTAATAGAAAGTCGGACGTGGGAGTAGTAGTATTATTGGCAATGATGCGACATGAAACAACGTTCGTAGAAATAAGAAACCTATTCAGGGAACTGTGAAATTTGATAGTAAGAAAAATGACGATCCACTTATAGGAAGCTATGTTGATGGGTAAAGTGTAGTCAATAAAATACCCCAACTATTGGTAGTGGTTCTGGCTTAACCTAGAGGAAAGTGAGCCACCTATATCAAGCGCTTCATCAGAGACACCATTGTGTATTGTATACTGTGTAGTGATTCTCTAAGGAGCTCGTGATCTTGTAATTATCGTCCAGGTTTTCATTTTTCTGTCCGTGCTAATAAAGCGTTTGACCTAGTAAATTACGTTCCAGTGTACCCTTCCAAGCTCTGAAGGAGGCGATACTGCCGAAACGTCAGCTACCGCTGTGTTGTATGTGTTCCATACGTACGGAAGTAAACGTGTGCAGAATAACAACCGCACGATAATAAAACGACACGTCCATAATCCATTGCCGAGTTTAATAGACAATCGATCTTGGAAGTTGTTTTTTGATGTCTGTTGTTTTCTTTCTCAGCAATCGCGAGGTTGTTAAACAGCATAAGTCTACTTCTGTACAATAACACACATACAACACAACGGTAGCTGACGTTTCGGCAGCATCGCTTTTTCAGAGCCTGGAAGGGTATACTGATATTTACACTTCCAGGCTCTGAAGAGAGAATCTGTGTGCACAACCAGGGAACTAAAGGAAGAATAGCGCGATTTAGGTCGGCAAATTGCCATCTCCAGTGGCTACGAAATAGTTACTGCACGAGATAGGTTTAGAAGGAGAGCGACGCGCCCACGCGAAACACTTGGCCAAAAGAAAGTCCCGTTTGTGTCGCCTTTCATAAGCGATGAAGTAGACGTAGCTATAAAACGATGCTTAAGAAGGGCAGGTCTAGAGGAATCTGTAGCGATAGTTGAAATACCACCTGCTACTCTTCGTCGTTAGTTAGTTTGTAACTGCCTGTATGACCGTCTATGTGAAACAACAAATTGAGTAATTGGCCCTTATTTTATGGACGGTGATTGCATGAGTTCAGGTACGATATATCTGATCTCTTGTAAAAATTCCGGAGATGAATATATTGGCGAAACGGGCAGACCTTTGTGTATCCGTATAAGAGAACACCTAGATGGCAAACGAAAACTAACACGAAGCACCCCACTAGGCACGCATAGGATACAAAAGCATAGCGGAGACGATTTTGAAGTAAAAGTCAATATCCTGGCACAGGAGTCTAAAACACCAGCGCGAAAACTCCTAGAGGCTTTTTGGATCAATGCCAAAAACCCTACAAAGAATAGCAGGGACGAATGCCCGGAGGTCATACGCGACCTGATCCCGTACGTTCGCATCGATTTTTGATGAGGGATGGTGCAGTCGTCAACCACATGCGACTATAATCAGCTGTTCTAAACTTTCTCATTGGAAGTCACGAAAAAGCGGTGAGTTTTTCGAGCTGTTGATCATGTAATTACCATAGAGTTTTCGTCTTTTTGTAAGTGTTATTGAAGCGTTTGGCCTAGTAGATTGTATATCAGCATGCCCTTCCAGGCTCTGAAGAAGGCGATGTGTTTTTCTATGGAAGTAAATGTATGCTATTTGAAAACCTCGCGATTGCTGAACAAGAAAACGACGTAATCAATATGTATTCCTTCTTTGATGAGCTTACACGAGGTTGATAATGACATTTATTTTCGGCTAACGTTTCGACGTCTTCGTTTTCCTCAGAGCCGATGATCCGAGTCCATGCTCTACGCTTGCTATTCGTCTCAGTAAAAACAAGCTATTACCACACTATCACCGGACAATTACAGCTATCCACCGTCAGCAACCTGCATAAAACGGTATCACTGAGTGAGGATGCCTCATTCGAGGAGATGGCTCACTGAGAAAGACCTGACTCGACACAAAAGCGAAGATGACATCGAGACGAATAACAAGCGTGGACCATCGACTCGGATCATCGGCTCTGAGGACGAAGACGTCGAAACGTTAGCCGAAAATAAATATATTTATCAACCTCGTGCAAGCTTATCAAGAAAGAATACATATCTCAGCATCATTGAAGTTATATTTCTCTAGTGTTAGTATTTATAAAAGTACTAGCTGTTAATTTTGGCGGCGTTTCCTGTACAATTAATTGACTTGAAGGCCTTTAATTTAAGATTTCGACTAGTTTTTTCTCCAATCACTTCACTGTTTTAAGAGTTGAGCAGCCTTGTCATTTTCGTCTCGCATTTTTAGACTTATATTCAGAATTTTCCCGTTGTTCTATGATTGGTTTACCAATTGCTACGATTTCATTAGTGCGCTTCGATTTCCCCTTCCTCTAATTTTAGATTGCTTGTGCTTTTTCTCCGTCTCCTTTCGACATCGAGATCGGAAACCTTTTGTATGTTGAACGGTCGGCTGTGCCCTTTGTCAAGAGCATTTCAACACTTAATTACTTGATACTTGAATGATCCGTCCTCACTGGTTGTGCGGGCCCCGGCATAATCTCCATTTTTCGGAAATTTGCTGGTTAAACCATTGCGGTTCACTGGAGTCCCGAGGTCTGCTTGGCTAATGTCTGCCC